GACTTGCCTCTGACTCGCACACAGCACATGGACTGCCCAGATAAGTCCCTCAGTCACAGCAAGACTCCAGGGAAGTCATGCCTGAGGAAACCTTCTTGGGTGACACTCTGGACTCCTGTAATGGTGTTGGCCCACCAGTCGCTCGCTCTCTCTCTCACTTGCTTCCCACCTGCTGGCTGAGTGTGCCTGCACTAGATGGCTTGCCCCTTCCTGTTGGCCCTGCAAGGCATGCTGTCCTCCTCTCTAGGAAAGCGATACACTGCTTCTCTTATTTCATGTGTTTTGTTGAGTTGCCTTTCTTGTGTGTCACATGGCCGACACACCTGAACCTATCCTTCCTGGTCAGGGCTCTCCTAGAGAGTGGTTATCTCAGTAAGTATAAAATGCACACAGGTCAGACAAGAACCAGAAGGGTGCCTGCTAGTATAAAATGAGTTTCCTGTGAGAGGGACACCTGTTCACGGGTTGGACACTTAGGCCATTAACAGGATAAAGAAGTATCCCGTGAAAGGCACACTGTAAACATCCCTGGAGCCTTGTCAGAGCAGGGCTAGAGTTTACAGCCACTCTCCTGAGAGAGACCTCAAGATAAAAACAGAGAAAACCACAACATACTGATTTTTAGCCCTAAAATTTTAAATGATTTTATTATTTTTTAGCTTTAAAAAGGAATGATGTTCTGACACATGCCACGATATGGATGAACCTTGAAAACATGCCAAGTGAAAATAAGCCAGACACAAAGGATAAATACTGTGTGATCCACTTATATGAGGTACCCAGAATAGGCAGATTCATAGCGACAGAAAGTGGATTAAGAGGTTCCCAGGGGCTGGGGAAGAGATGGAAATGGGGAGTTATTTTTAATGGGTAAATTTCTGCTGGAAAGTGATAGTGGTTATGGTTGGACAACATTGTGAATGTACTTAATACCACTTAAAATGTTTTTTGTTTTTTTCTTTCTTTCCTTTTTTTGTCTTTTTTTCGTGACTGGCAATGGATCGCAACCCTCAGTGTCGCACCCGTACCGGACTGGGACCAGCAACGGGATCGCAACCCTCGGTGTTGCGCCCGCACCTCGCTCAGCCAGTGAGCGGAACCGGATCCGAACCCTCGGCAGGAGCGCCGCCGCGCTCCCAAGTGGCGCACTCTCCAGTGCGCCACC